CCCTTAGTGTGGCAGTCAGCTTTTGTTCTGGCTATCCCAAAAACTTAATTATAACTTGTTCCCTAGGAGGCATTTAGTAAAACTAAACAGGTAGAGGAAGAGGTCTCAGGACTTGAATCCAATTCTAGGTATGGTGTGACCTGCAGGGTTCAGCTAGAATCATTAAGAAGTGATAGATGAAACTTCACTGATCAGCAAAGATGACTCACCCAGAAGCACAAGTGCTGAAGTTTGCATTTATTTTGGGGGTGGAAATAGAAAGGAGGGGAAGAAATCTCAAGGAGAGAGGCAAAGGTCCTTGTTGTCAAGATCAAAGCAATGGCCAAAAGGAAATTATTCTGATGGTGCACAGAGATGGGAGAGGTGTCTGTGAGCAGGAGCCTGGCTCAGCCACATGGCCTGGCCCAGCAGAAAGACTCGTGTAATTTAAATTTCATCTTACTTATCTTATGGACATGTTTTCTTCTCCATAAACAACTGATTTGAGAGAAGGACACGTTTTAGCCAGTAGACAAGTGGAAGGCCAGGCACTGCTGGTCAGCCAGAGTCCCTTTCAAGGGACTTTTCCCTCCCTTCCTTATCCTATAATTGTTCATAAAAACAAAGACATTGTTTTGTTTACCAAAATCCCCACCGACAGCCTTAGAGTGGTGTAAGGAGGTTATTGCTGTGCCCAGCTAACCCCTTGCAGCAAAGAAAGTGCAAACATAGTCTTTATTCTGTGCATTTCCTGGAGGAAAGGGTACTGGACAGGAATTCAGATAAGAAAATTCATGTTGTTGCCGTTCTTCATATTCTGTGAAGTATTTTAATGGGGATAACAATACACATTAGACATCCTGTTCAGTAACATTTTTAGTACCCAGCTGAGTCCAAATATAAACTATAATGGCATATGGAGACTGTCTTAAGAGCCATTTCAAATCAATTTAGTTTTATATAGTGTCTCTTCAAGTCTCTCAAGGTGATTTACAGTGAAAAAGCAAATAGTGGGATAGTGATTTAGTAGAGTAAGGCATGGCAGCTTTCAGGGAGGAAGGCAAAAATGCTGCATGGAGACGTAAAACTCTAATTTAAAACCAGTACAAAGGTAAATATATCTCTTTGCTCTTCCAGTACAAGAAGCAGTCAAGTAATGAAGCCAGGTTGGGTTCAGTTTAATTCAACAGTTCAATGGAGCCATTTACAGATGGAACTGGACCTAAAACTGAACCTTTTCCACTCAGCTGCTGAGATTAGGAAAAAAACAGGGAAGAAATATTTGTGACCAATTCATTTTACCATCATATTTCACAACCTCAGAAATTTCAGACTTCCTGTGGCTTGGACTTCTGCCCTAGGGGCTTATGAAGTCAAGAAGGCAGCTTTAAGTGCCTTTTTCATGAAAATTGTTAAAGCCTTTTTTAAAGAAGCAACATTTTAGTCAAGAAACCTTGACCTGGCTGGTGTGACAACCATTGTGCTGCTCCTGTGCAGGGAGAAGGAATAATTCTTCAGAGAATGTTTCCCTCAGCTACAGGCCACCCTTCCTGTGGGTTTTTGCCCTCCTGCTCACCCCTCACATGAAGCTGCTACAGGAGCCATGAAAACACTCGTATTTTGGTGTTCCTAGTGTGAGGATCACATGTGCTCCTTACATTTCCCTCCCACCAGCTCAGAATAGGATGTGGCTGTTTCAGCGAAATTTAGGCAAGAGAGAGGGAAATGCTACTGTCTTCCTAGGACCTGAGTACACAGAATCCTGGGACAGCTCAGCGTGGAAGGGACCTTTGAAGATCTTCTGATCCACCATTTCATGGGAAAGGGAGCCTAGAATGAGATGATCCAGTGCCCAACAGCATCTTGAAAACCTCCAGTGATGAGGACTCCACCACATCCTTAGGAAGGTTGTTCCGAAGTTTCTCTTCTTTGAGAGGTCTAAACCACCCACGTTTCCTTCCACCTACACCACCCATGCTTCTCCTTCCACCTAAACCACCCACGTTTCCTACCACCTAAAACTACCCACTTTTCCCTCCAGGTGCCAGGATTTGTCAGGATTTGTCACTGCTGTTGCCTGTAGGTCAGGGGCATGGTGGAAGCCTGACCTGCTTGCCCACCAGGACTAACATTTTGATTTTTCAACAAGCAGGGGAAGGCTGTTCAGGATGCCAAAGCTGTGGAGAGCCTGAATTGTGATCACTTGAAAAAGCACCTCCTTACTACTATCCTGGCGAGTGCAGGGTTTGTTTGGTGGCCCCAGGGCAGACGTCTCACAGGCAGTGACTTTGTGAGTCACACAAGGCTGGGAGTCCTGCTGGGAGGTCTGTTCATCTGGGAAAGTGCCTTCTCTTCCTTTCTGCTGTGCAAGAAGTGTATGTTTTATTAAATAAAGTGATGTTCCCTATGCAAATGAACGCCCTTTGGAATGGTGATATGCTGACACGTTTTAGGTTAAATATGTATGCCCTTTAAAAACTGAAGCAAGAACTAAAAATCATTTATAAATATTAAAGAGCAAGAAGTCTACTTTTTGTTTTCACTATGTTTCTGATCCTGCACTCTGCGAAAAACACTCCTCACATTATAAAGATTGAATTATCTGTCCAAGAACTAAACCTGTAATTTTATTCTATCAGTCAAGCTGTAATGTCACGCTATTTTTGTGTCAAGACAATCAGGTTCTTTGAAGCACAGACACACACCTACTTAAAAGAAGCTTTCAGCTGAAAGCAGAAGACTCCAGAAACAGCAGCAATTTGTACCTTTCAAGAGAATGATAATTAAACAGAGAAATGTTGATTCCAATGAAACGAAGGTTTCTTTGCTGGCCAGGATGATGTTCCATTAGGACATTTGGGTCCAGATTCATCTGTTTGGACTGCAGGCATCAGTCCTTTGAATCATTGGCTTCTAATGGCTTCAGATGTGTCCTTTGGAGATACTTATTTCTCTTTCTGGACAAGAAAGGACAGTAGGCCATCTGCACTCCTAACCTGACTACCTTAGTTAGGTATCTAAGATGAAATTAAATCAATCCAGGCCTTGCTCTAGTTTTTTAAGTATTTGTTGCAAGGGACACCTATTAGAAAGTTTAGTATTCAACCCATTGTTACAGCACAGTCAGCCTTGCCTCCAGGAAGCATTTCCTGCTGTGCACGGTTTCCACATCCCTCTGGAAGAAGCAGAAATTTCTCATTAAGGAAAAAAAGTGCAGCAAGAGCAATGCAGACATTGAAGCATCACCACCAGGGAGGCACTTTTAGATTACAAGTGAGGGAGAGTATTTTGGTGTTTCACAGGATCACAAAATGGGTGATGTTGGAAGGGACCACTGGAGGTCATCCAGTTTCCTTCTGCTCAGAGTTGTTAAGGTAACTTGCAAATGCCAGAAGAGTCTCAGGACAGACTGTAAATATGCTGTGCCAGTTTTACTTACTGAGAAACCAAGTCCACAGGTCAAATAAGAAGTCCAGGGCATGGCAGAGAATGAAAACTGCAGCTCTGGAGTCCCAGTATTTTTCCCTCCTGTAACACCACTGTTCTTTGTTGGTGAAGAAGCAGCAGTTTTCAGCTTGGTCTTTATTGCACACTCACTAAATTATTCCATGTGCTTCTGGCTGCACCATGGATGGCAGAAGAGCCAATGGACAGCACTGAAGGGCTTTTGGAAACCTGCAGCAAGACTGGCTGAAGTGAAGCAATGCTATCCTCCCCTCACTTTACTAGCTCTGCTATCAGCAAAATGCCTTTCTCCCTTTCCAGACAGGAGCTGGAGCAGTGGGAAATATTTTCCCTCAGAGTTTGTCACTCTGTTGACAGGAATTTTAAGACAAAAGGTCATTTTGGTGGATTTAAAAAGCAGTGGAACCTCATACCCCTAATGAATGGGCAGCAGGAACTCATACTGGCAGTGCTCAATGGCTGCACATGAAACTAGCCAGGCTCAGTAAATGAAACCAGATCCCAAAATACAGCCTGAGATAACTGAAAGTATGCATCAAAGTTTATTGTAGGAAAATGACTGAGTGGAAAAAGAGTGGTCTGCTCTGCCCCTGCACCTCCAAAACATATTGTACCATTTAAACCCTCTAGAAAGACATCTGCCAAAAATGTGATTAATTCTCCTGAAGGTCAAATGTATTACTTTTGTAGAATAGTTGAAGCAGCAGTTGTACGTCTTTGATTACTCTTACAAAAGCAACTTAGGAAAAATCCTAGGATTGCTCTTGTGTTTGAAGCTGCTCTTGTGTTTGGAGCTGGATGTTTGCTGCTTCTTGGCAGTGACTTGTGTAGCAAAGGTGAGATGTGGTCAGGAGATGATTGCAATTCCCCCAAAAGGATGAGTCCCAGAGCAGCCTGTCCCAAATTCCAGCAGCACATCCTGTGCCTCTGTTTGGAGTGCCACCCTGTGGACACGGCTGAGCTCCTCCCATGAGTTCCTCTCCTTCCCACAGCCAACACCCAGGACACGCCTGGGACACAAGGATGGGTGACAGCACCTCTGAGCTCCCAACCCCACTGTCCCCTGTCAGTCCTGCATGTCCCTGCCCATCCTGGGGAAAATGGTGCTGGGCGAAGAATGGGAATTTCTGTACCAAAACAGAGTGTTTGTTATGAAAGACCATTTTTGCCTGTGCTTTCTACACAACAGAATATGAAATGCCACCACCACTTCTGAGCTGGATAGGAAATAACTGGGGCATTGCTGGTAACAGCTGAGGTTTCTTGCATTACACCTCCAATGCAGAGCTTTGTACACTGAGACCAGAGAAGCTCTCTGCTCATCCACGGATGAATTAAGCCCCTGGTAAGTCAAGTTCATCCTTAGAAGTCCATTTCTGGATTGCATTATAATTTATTTTTTTCTCTGACTGTTGGTATAAGACTTGCAGGTTTATTCACTGGAGATTGCCACCATAAATTTTAGGAGTCTGGCTTACAAAGCCTGTAACAACCTTGTTTAGCAAAGGTGTGCCTTGCAGCATTCCTTCAGTAATGCCACTTTGGCTGCCCCTTACCTCTGGGGTGAGGTATTTCATCATGATTTCCTTTCCTTTCTCTCCCAGCTTTTCATCTGGAGCAATTTCATATTCTGCCTGGAACAGACATATAAAAAAATAAAAGTCAATATTTGCACTCATATTTCACCATTATAACTTCATTTTGGATGTGGACTTAACAGAACACTCTGTATGAAAAATCTGAAGGACAAATATCATTTTCTGGTGGAAATAAAACCTGTACACACAATCTTATTGAAAACCTTCCACTAGATTTTGACCAGACCCTAGCAGTGCTTCTTCTGGGGCTTTGTCTCTTAATTAACACCAATACAATTGAATTAATTTATATTTTATAACCTTGCAAAGCCAGCTTTCAGAAAGCATTCAGTGACAAGAGACATCAGCTTCATTTGGTTTTGCTCAAAAGAAAGTTGGACACAGGAGGTAAAATTATTTCTCTGAGCAGTAGAGAAAGTGAATGTTTGTTAAGACTTGCCACAGTGCTGTTTCAAGTTCTAGGTGTGTATATATATATATATATATATATATATATATATTCTTTTTTGTTTAATGTGTATTTTCTATGTATTTATGCCTTGACCTTGGTCTGACAATACCTGTGCAAAGCAGAGAGACCTGCCCATCACTGTTAGTGACCCTTGGCTCAGTCCCTCCTGATTTCTTAGAACCAAGAGGAGACAAGAGAGAGCACTTAGAGGAATAGACACCATAAGCAAAATTCTCTTTGGCTTCCCTAGTGCATTAAAAAAGGGAGCATCCCATCCTCATGCACAAAGTCTACCTACACTTTAAAATTCTGACTGCTCTAGGTATTGAACTACTACTGACTTTTGATGAGCTTTGTTTATATTAGAAACAAAAGAAGCACAATGTGTGTACCATGAAGATATTAAATCACTTCAGCTAAAGTTTTGGATCCATGGCAGGCATTCAAAGGAAACATGTGCTTCAGTGCCTAAATGACAAGTTTTCTTAGGGACCTTCCTGATAGGCGCTGCTTGGGATATGAAGCTTTAGCCTTCAGGTAATTTTTTTTTTCCAGAATTAAATTAAGGGAAAAAAAAAAAAAAATAAAAAAAAAAAAAAAAAAAAAAAAAAAAAAAAAAAAAAAAAAAAAAAAAAAAAAAAAAAAGGAAGACGACAGCCTAACAGCTTTCATGACTGTATTAAAAAAGGATCCCAGAAAATCCTGCCAAACCAATTAAATAACCTGGTCCAATACAAGCTGTCTGTGATGATAAATGAGGAGGAAGCTTAAAAAAAAAAAAAAAAAGGTAAATCAGACTGAACTGGCAAAAACTTGGAAGAACAAATTTCAGAACTATTGCCCACTGGAAGATGTATGTACTGCTCCAGGCTGGATGCAATAAATCTGCAGGCTGGCTGTAATGGATACCCCAGCTAAGCAAACCTAGGAATGACATGGAAACCACAATGTAGTAATAATGCTATTCCCCTTCTATCTGGCCAGTGCTCATAGAGCTATTGCAGCTCAAGTCTGGAGCTGCATATTTAAACACAGGCATAGCAGGTTGCTTGAACAATCTGGAATTATGATTTGGTTTGGGAAATTATAATGGCCACAAATAAAAATGATGAAAAGACAACCAAAAACTAAAATCCACAAGTACAGAACTTCTTTTTAAGTGACAGTTTTGGGGATGAAACTGATTAGGTTCTCATAAAACTTAATACAAGGGTTTAAAAATATATTTTATCTAATCTCCTGTCCTTTTAGATGGTATCTGAGTATGGGTCATTGAAGTACAGAAACTCTGAAATGCTTCAAGCATCTTAGCAGCATTTTTCTCCATGATTTCTCTCTCCTTCATTTGCTTTCAAACGCTGATAATATATTGTCTCCCTAGCAAATAAAACCTGATTATAAGTCATCATCTCCTATTTGAAGTGCACCAGGAGAGCTGTTGAAAAATTTTTTGTCCTTTTTGCCACACAAAACCTATACCAATTTCATCCCATCTGAACTGTACAACAGGAAACAAATCAGGACAAACCAGAAGACAGAAACTCAGCAAGAACTCGATGTCTTGAAATGCAATTCCTGATGGGATCCAACATACGCAGAGCTAAATGCACACCTATACATATACAGAGTCTCTCATTCTGCCTCAAGAGAGATAGCAAGAATAAAAGGAAAGTTTAATGACACTTGCATTTGACATTCCCAGGAAATGTGACACGGTGGTGGCGAAGGTGGGAAGTGACAGACAAGTGAGAATGTGAGAAGGAACCATAAGCTCCAACTGTGCACGGTGTTGATTCCACTGTAGGTCTGCATTAGAAGCTTGTTCCATTTTGTTCCTCAGCTCATTATTATTTCTCCCTTCAGTGCCATTTTTGAGCTATTCAGCAACAGACCCTGGTACATTCCCAGCCATGACCTGTTATTACAAGACACAGACATGAATGTCCCCATGCTCTCTCTTTGACACCTGCCTGGGAAGCCACCAAGGTCCTCAACTCCTGGTCTTGTGCTTAAATCACAAGATACTTCCCTTTCTTTCCCAATACTCAAAAGCTACAGTTTGCAAATCCCTAATTGCTAGAAATAACATCATTTCTTACAATCCGCGTGGAACAAAATATTTTCCATTATTCCTTTGATGAATCCAGGCATGTGTTTCAAGGCTCCTGCTCTGAAGTCTAATAGCTTCTCCATGCCCTAGTTAGGTCAGACAGGGCCCTATTCATAGCCCATAAATGAGGGGAGGATTTACGATCACCCTGACTCCGTGGGACAAGCTGCAGGGAAGGCTCTGTCTGTGGGCAGGCACGGATCCTTCAGCCCAAATGGTGAGAGGATGTGGGCTGGCCACTGTCTGCTGCTAACTTTTCTTCTGGCTGCTCTTTTGGAGGTAGTTGTTATGTTGGTGGCTCCTTCTTCCATAGAAGCAGCCCTGGCTGGATGGAGGAACGGGAGTGCAAAGTGTTCTTCCCTTTGGAGCAGCTACCCACAGGATGGGATGAGAGAGGTCAGATGGAAAAATGCTCTTCAGCTGGGAAAAGGAGCAATATCTAGCCTATGGCTGGCTGTGGGATGAAGCCATGGGCTCAGGGACAGCTCAGCTTTAGGGGCTGGAGGCTGCCTGTGATGGGTGGAGAGCTACCAGGGCAATGACACAGGGACCCCACAGGGGCTCACATTGATTCTGACACATCAATTTATGTAGTATCTGATTCTCACCTTAATATTTGAGCTCCTGAAACTGCATGGCTAAAAATGTGTGAAAATGGAAAAACATATCCAAAGAGATCTCTCTGCAGATCTGGGAGGATGCTCTCCCACAGCAGGTAGCTGATGGTTGCCTGTGGCAGCATGGCATGGCCAAGGGAATCATCACCCCTTGTAGCACCCACCAGGAGATGGAGATGGGAACAGACACTCCCACCAGAGCAGTTTTGGCTTATTGGAAAAAGTTAAGAACAGTGGAATCATCTTTTGAGCATCTGCAGGAGGTTACTGGTATTTCAGTCCCAATTTTTCACCTCCACTTTCTTAGCTCCCTCCTCTGTTATCTGAGAGTATCTCTCTGCTCAGTCCTTTCTCAGACTCCAGGCTCTGCCCTGTTATTGCTCTGTCCTCTGTGCCTGTCCTTGCACTTGCCTCTGCTGGAGATTTAAAATCTGTGACTGAAAATTGGAAGGCAAACCCCAAACAGCTGGTATTCATAATAACTCACATTTCTAAATGAAAAGTGAACTTGAAACCATATTTTTCATATTTAAAGGCAGGGCAAAAAGAGCCCTTTCAGCTGTTTGAAAACACGTTTTGAGTTAATGAGTTTGTTGTTACAACAAACTGGCATTTCTGATGGGAGAAGCCTTGAACAGCTTTAAGACACACATACACAGATGGTTTATATACCACAAAAGGGACTTAACCAAATGAAATCTCCCTAACAGCAAGACTGGGTTTTTACAAATGGCACTAAATGGATGCTCACTCATCCTTTCACCCCACATAAGTGCCATGCCTAGTGAAGCATTCAGCTGAAAAGTCCACCCGAGCCCAGATATCACAAGCAGAAACAACCTGGAGAGGGAGTAGGGCTATTTTCTTCCAGAGGATGAATTTTTGTGTGACTTCAGTGCAAAAAAAAAGTAACCTTGTTCACATTAGAGAGAAAATAATGACCAAAATTGTCCACGTTCTCCTCCTGTCAACCTAAACCTGGTCCACATTAAATTGTTAAAAGCCCTCCCTTGGAAATAAAACATTAAGAATGTGAGTAGATGAAGCAGGAAAGGGAGTCCAGAATCTAAATCCTTCATTTTAATGACACATAAGAATCACAGGAAAGGAGAAAGAAATGTCAGGTGCTGTGACCCTGGGAATGTACTGAAGAGAAGGGGACAGGAGCAAGAGGTCCCTGCTGAGCTGAACTGACCTGCCACCTTCTTGTGCTGGAGGCACTGGCTGTGGAGAAGCAAATACAACTTGCTAGCCCCTTGCCTGCTCACTGATCAGCCTTTTAGCACAGGAAACATTTCCCCTCACACTTTATTTTAATGGCTGTCTTTCAACAGCTCCGAAGTTGCATGATGCTGCTAAAATATTTGTAAGCAGAGCAAAGTGTGCTTCAGGGCTGTGTGTGATTCCTTGGGTAAGGGCTTCTAGGGGAGCCCATTTAATCACAAACCATCTCCATCTAATGATAACAGTTTGTGTTCCCATAGTTCCACCATCTGAACAGCTCCATCAGGGTTTCCTGAGCCATTCAGGGGAGATCTCTGTGGTTCCAAGCACCCAGACAAGCACATGATGCCTCCAGAGCCTCAACGGAGCTCAGTGAATATTTTATCTCAGCAATCAGGACCTCTGTCATGGGTTTGTTTGCACAATAACCACAGCAAGAGATGGCTGGCTGTCCTTACAGCCCTTGTGCCAGCTGGGAGAAGGGGTGGCTGTTCCCCCATTTCCCAGACAGACAGACAGACAGACAGACCCCCTGACAGGCACTCACTGCTCCCACAGCAGCAGTGGGGACCAAACACCCACAGCTGCACCAGTGCTGGGCTGCAGAGCTCTGCATCTCTTTGTTCTTATCATTGTTATCATCTAATCTTGGGGCTTGCTGCTTACAAACCACACGTCCTGTTAGTCTGGGCTACAATCGATTGTGACTAATTACCCAAACACTTCTCTCAGAAAACATGGAGAGGCTTTATGCCTCTGAGCACTTTCGTCTCAATTCCTGGTTGAAATTGGCCAAGGTATTCACAGGTCTCAGAGGGAGCTGACAGCTACACACCTACATGTGTGCAGAATTTAGTGATACAAATCCTTTTTCTTCAGAAGGCAGCTTATCAACTGCTTAACAGGCAAAATTCCCCAAATGCTGCCATAATTACATTTGCAGGAGACTACATCAGACCAGGTTGGTTATTTCACACAGCAGCTGACATAAATGTCCAGTCAATAAAGGATTTTTTTTTCTCTTCTTACATATTCTGGTCTGCAAGGTCTGGATGATTATACCAGCCTTTGGAAGCAAAGGTGTGAGAGAGCTTAGTCTCTCACAAGGATAGGTTGTTAAATGTCTGACTCAGTTTCTGGTTTTCTCCCAGAAGCTTCAGTCACTTCTTTCCTTGCAGACAGTTGGGTGCATGAGTTGAAAAACTGTATAAAACATTGGGAAGCATCAAGTACTGACTTCTGCCAGTGACTTACTGTGTCACCTGGTAAAGTCACTTAGATGGGCACTGAAAAAGAAAGGTGGTCCTCCTTTTCAATGTGCAAAAAGCTCTGTGAGTCCCTCATGAACAACTAAATATTATCCCCTTTTATCCTTTCCCTTTATTTGATATTACACAAAAAGTAATTTTTGCATCTTGTGTTAGAAAAATAACCAAAACAAAAGAAAATTAAATATCTTGGCTTTTCCTGCTTGTTACAGCAGGTGGTCTAGAAAACCTTGCCTATTCCTGGTGGTCTCAGATTAGGGCTATAAAGTCAGACTCCTGGTCTCATTATAGGGCTTATTTTGCTACCATAGGGCTTGGCTTGAATCCTACTACTCACTAAACATAGTGTGACCTCGCTGGGCAAATTTCAGTAGCAATCATCCAATTTAATGGCAAATGGCTGTGTTGCTTGACCTTAATATTGCCTAATGCAGGGATTTTCATGGGCTGGGAGCAAGCTTACACAGAATTTGAAATCAATAAAAAAAGAAGACTGCTGTTAATTAGTGTTAAAAAGAAGAGAGAAAGATAAGGATTCAGACCTCCACCCAGACTGGCATTTTGCTTATCAAATCCTCATGATGCCAGTCTGAGCCTAACTGGGAACAGACCACTGGTCCAGTAAAGATACACAGGGCACCTCCAGCCTGCAAGAGCAACTTGGGCTGGGTGCAAAGCACACCTTTGCAGAAGGATTTGGGAATATGGCTCGGGATTGCTGGGAGACAGATCTTTCACACAAAGACAGTGCCAGCAGGAGCTTTTGCAGGAGCAGTGAGTGCCACAGTGCCCTCAGTGCCCAGAGCCAGGCAGCTGGCACATCTGCCCTGGGGACAGATGTTTCCCCGTGCCCAGATGTTGTTCCTGCTGTCAGTGGCATGTCCTGAGTGCATGCAAGGCTCTCACAATGGGGGATTCTCCCCCACAGTCCCTGGAACCAAAATGTGCCTCCTGCAGCTGCGGGGAGGCGAGAGAAGCGAGCAGAGCGCCCGAACTGAGCCCGGCTCCGCTGCTTCTGCCTGAGATTAAACCACTTACAGCCCATTTTCTTCCCAGGGATTTCTGCAGAAATTGCCATCTCCTCAGGGCTGCAGGTGGCACAGCTGGTGTGGCATGCCTGCAGAAATGCTAGAGGGTGTGTGGTGTTTCATCAGTGGCAGGCACCTCACTGGACAATGCTGGTCCAGTGCAGGGCAAACGCATTCGGGGTACCCAAAGTGTCCAGCTGCCTGCTGGCCTTGAGCACAGCTGCACAGAGTGTTGGTCAGATGTCCCATGTACCTTGGTGGCTACACCTTTCACCAGAGAAAATTGTGCTAGGAATAACAGGTGGAGGTCACGACCAGCTAAAACTGATTCAGATATGACTTTGTCCAACACTTTTTGTGATGCTGTAGATTTGCTTTTGTTACTGCAGGAGTAACATAAACCTTAAGTCCTCTCCAGGCTGTTACTTTTACAGCCTCAGTGAAATCCTCACATTTCCCTGTACTTCAGAGTAGCTTCACCATGGTGCAAACAAAACTATTTTATTCCTCTTGGTATGCATTGTTTTGCTTCTGTCAGCGTTAGCCAGGGAGTGAGACCCTGCGGGCACTCACAAGTGACAAGTTCATCTTGCTCTTTGGTACCATTTCACCTTCTGGCTGATCAACAACCCTCCCCTTCCACAGGTTCCCAGCAAAAGAAGTCACTGAGAGACTTTTCCATTGTGAACAGCTGGCAGGACACATGGCCAAGTGCTGCCAGACTGGGAAAGAGCGTCAGGTCCCCCAGGGCTTGGGGGTGATGCTCAGTGGCTGGGTTAACTGATGGCTCACTGGGGTGGAAAATGGAGCAGATTTGTTTCTCAGTGACCTCAATCAAGTTATTTCTGTACCTTGTGCCTCTCGTTCTCCTATTTGAAAAAACAAGGTGATTACCAGGATGCCCTTTGTAAACCACCCTGAATTCTATGTATGAAAAGGCTTGTCAAGGGATATTAGGATTATTACATTTCTCATCCTCTCTTGTCAGTCCATTCTCAGCTTCCCTTTGTGCCTCCCAGCACAGCAGGCTTCACCCCATCAGCAGACATTGCTCACAGCAGCTCAGCTGCTCGGGTCTTGACATGAAGGGAGGCCAGAGCTGGGGATGACTGTCCTTGCCCCTCTCTGGTGGCTCGTGTCCCCCAAGGCTGGCACCAGCACTTCAGACACAAAATCCCACAAAACAGTGATTTATTGGCATCAGAAGAGTCCCCTCTGCCAGGGGAACATTGCAAAGCATCCCAAGATACCACAAGAATTGACTTACCACCGAGTCAAGGAACCGAATGCAGCACTCGAGCTCGGGCCGAGTTTCACAGAACTGCCGAAAGAGAAGCCTTCCAATGGGCTGCTTTTCACATATGCTGCAGTAATCTCTCTCTAGGGGCAATAAAGAGAAGAACAGAAGCATGAAAATGAGAATAGTTCTGCCTTTTGGGTTGCTCAAGAGTTTAAAGCACAGTGCAGAACTACAACCTCAAATCACAACCGCCTTCTCCCTGCCACCACGTTTCAGGCATCCAAATACAAATATAATTAATGGCTTTAGGACTCAGTTAAGAGAGGCTGAATTTTGTAGGGCTGATGTTGGTAAAGGTCAAGCAAAAGCCATTCATCTATTATGAAAATATAATTTCATATTTTTCTGTGGTGGAAATGTATGCAAAGGTACAGCTCAGACTGGTGGTATTGGTGGGAATGTGGGCAGCAAATTACAAGTACTTGAAATATAAGACATACATTAAAGGTCAGAAAAAGCTGGAATTTGTGGAGTCCTTCCTGGATGCTTCCTAGATATGCACTAAAGTGCCCCGTATCTCTGGAAATGCTTGGCCTACTTTCTATTAAACAATTACAGTAAACTATGCATTTTCAAAGGTTTCAAAATTTCTGCTATTTAATTGCTGAGCATTAAGGAACAGATAGAGCATATGGCATCTGGCTCATTTCAGTTTAACACAGTACTCCTTACAGAACTGTATTTCCCCTTAAAATACATGTTTAAATGCCATTCCCCTGTGCTAGTGCATCCACAACCATCACTCACAGTAAAGCAAAAGGTCCTTTCCCCATCACAAGGACTATCAGCAGGAGAATATGGATGAAGGGCTGGCATCATTAACTGGCACAAATGCCAAGGGCTTTGGATATTTTTCTGATGAAAGCAGAAAATCCCCCAGCCTGCTTGGAGCAGCAATACTTGCTTGAGACACGTTATTCCTCTACAAGAACACACATGTCAAACAACATACTGTGTTTCCTTAGGCATTCTTCTCACCACCCTCCTCGCTGCCATATGGCACTTGCTGTTATTATGGAAACAACCAGCTTCTAAACACATAACACAGCACTGCAAACAGACATAGCAAACCCACACACGTTGTCAGTGCCTCGGTTACTTCTCTCTTTGGCCTTCAAAGTCTTTGATTCCCCCTCTGCTTTGGCTCCCCACATCCTTCAGCTCCTCCCTCTCCATGGATGCAGGCACATGTCTGTGATGGAGCTCCCCTTTGCCATTTGAGGCAGCCAGCTGAAGGACCTGCTCATCTCAGCTTGTGCCCTGGGGACTATGTTCTGCAAAACCAGGACTACACAGAATCATCACAGAATCACAGATGGCTTGGGTTGGAAGGGATCTTAAATATCCCCTTACATATCCCCTGCCATGGGCAGAGACACCTTCCACTATCACAGGTTGCTCCAAGCCTCATCCAACCCGGCCTTGAACACTTCTAGGGATGAGGCATCCACATCTCCTCTGGGCAGCCCATGCCAGGGCCTCCCCTCCCTCTGGGTACATTTTTCCTGAGCAGAAAATGCTGTATGAGGTGTTGGACTTCTGCCCTGAAGCTGGGTGAAGTGGGCAGGAGTAGCCAAAGCTGTCTCTCGTGAGAGGAAGGAGGGAACCTGCCCAGTGCTGCACCTGGGTGTACTTCAGGAACTGATTCCTGAAGCACCTCCAGGGTGGTCACTGGAAACATGGGTCAGGGATAGCTGAAATGTACTTTTAATTCAGTGTGGTCCTGCTCTGGTCTCATCTTCTGAAGCAGTTGGGAACAACACACCAGCAGCATTTCTTCGCTGGCGCTGCCATTCCATTTTGGATCAGGATATCACTCAATCTATTGAGAAAACTGCAGTGTTTTGATGCTTTCTTGCAAGCAAAACTGGATCAAAATCATCCTGCAAATCCTAACCTGGCCCCCAGTCAATCTAATTATCAGCATTCACCCCCTGGTGCTGGTTTGTTTGCCTGAGCTGGAGCCTTCAGCATGGAACATCATGGCACTGATAGGTGTGGTGGGAAAACCAGCGGGATCACTGGGACATGGAGCAGCCTTGGGGTGTCCTTGTGGGTGCTAGCAGCTTGTGCTGCTTGACCAAGTGGCATTTTTATGAGTAACTGCTGAAGGGATGTGCAGACACGTACAGCACAAGAGAGAGTGGATCAGAACAGCCCTCACAACATCCCAGAGGCTGGCACGAAGCCAGAGGCTCAGCAGCCCAGGTGAGCTCTCCTGGGAGGTGAGAAGGTTTAACTACATCTGCCTGGTGCTGGTTTCTTCTGCCTTGGCTAACTAACTCTTGGGAGGGTATGAATAAAACACACACCCCAAATACCAGTAGCACACGGCCTGCCTGGTGGCAGAACTCAATCCCTCCAGAAGCCCAGACCCACAGCAAGCTTCCACATGCCAAAAAATAAAGAATGAGACTGTCTGTATTCATAACAGAGTAAACCAGAAGGGGACAAACACAATAATCAGCTGGTTTGCCCCATAGTTTTTCTTGTACAATGTCATTTGATGGACAGGGATAACTGTTGTACAAAATGTGGTTAGTTTATCAAAGTTGTTATGACATGGTGACACCCAATGCAGCAGAGGATGATCTTCTACCAAAAGGGCCAGTGAGACCAGGTAAATTAATGTGCAAATTGCACATCCATAACGTCCATAACTGTGTTCTTCCTAGCACAGCAGGGAAAGAAAACAAGCAGCTAAACACTATGACATATGTGGATAAACACAAGATAAGACATGAGCGCGGACTTCCTCCTGCTCTACAGAGCTTGGCCAACATGTGAGAAGGGTGACCCATTTGAAACAAGGAAAAAGGAAATACCAGAAATAACCTCTGAAAATGCAACAGCCAGAGCAGTTCCCTGGAGCCATCCACGCCTCCGTCATGTGCATTTAACTGCTGGATATACCAACACAGACAATAAATACATGACAAAAATGCTTTCATTCCTTGTAGGTGACACAGACTATTTTCTTAGGCCCTGATCTTGCCGTTGGCCTCACTAAGTCAGCTAAAGGAATCTGCACTCAACTAATTCTTGGGATGCATGGGCCCGGCGCGGGCTAAGAAAGAAAAACACGTCTCAGCTAAAGCTGGAAAAGGAGTGGATGGTTTTATTATAGCAAGAAGTGTTTTAGCAGAGTGCTGCACCCCAGAGATGGGGCTGGAGCACCCCGAGCCGTGCTCAGGAGCTGCTGCAGGATGGGGAGGGATGGGGAGGCAGGCGAGCACCGCAGCCAGGGGCTCTCCTGGGCAGGGGCTGAGCCTTGTGCCGCTCTCGTTCCGCCTGCCAGTAAAAACATCCATGGAGTTTCAAAGTTTAAAAAATAGAAGGAATGATTTCCTGAGGAAATGGAAATGTTAAACACTTGGAAGTGAAACCATATGCTTATGATGATGAAGTGTAACTAAAACAGCTCTGAGAGTGATATCTTTGGTAGTCAGACCCTCCTGCCTCAGTGCCATCCTGTTTAACACCTGCAAAGTCACCCAAAACGGGGGTGAAAAGCTGGGTGGGTCAAAGTTTTGGGAAAGCAGACACTTCTCACTGACGCCAAACTCTTTATTTAGAAACTATCACCGACAAACAACGCACACATGCAAGTGAATTCTCCATCTTCCTAACAGAGCAGCAACAGAGATTAATATAGAAAAGGTATTATATAAAATGCCATAATTAACATTCATAAGATAAATAAAGATAAATAATGTTTATTCATATTTCTACTGACTCATTTTCCCCTTTACTTCATAGCTTATGTATTGAAATACTAATTTCAGGAGCACCCAGCACAAAGAACACGCTGAAATAGTTGCACCTGCACACGTCATGCTGTCACCATTCAAAGCCTATGGCCAAATCTGTTCCCAAACAGATATTCTGGCAAGGTTCTGAAAAATATCTGAGCCTATGCCTAAGAAAAATAGTCCTATTAACAAAATTTCATACCAGTCAAAACATACCGTTGATGAAGTGGAAAGCTAAACAAAAGGTAACAGAGTTGCTGATGTCAAAAATCTCAAATTTTCAATTAAAAGGGGGGGGGAAATCTAATATTTTAACTAGATAAAAAACCTTCCTGTGCATTGTGAAGATTTTTTGTCCTAATTTCTCATTTGAATACCTTTCATTTTTTTGGCTGACTCAAAATATCACGTTTTGGAGAGAAACGGTGGTCTGCAGAGAGACCAGGTTCTCCCTTCTCTTTCACATTTGCAATATACCTGTGGGTTTTGATGGGTTAGTGATGAACTAAAATACTGTGTGATAACTCTTGGCTGAAAATCAGTCTTTTATGATATTCAGTGTAAACTGCAGGTGTCTAAGTAAGACTGCTGTAAAAGCTGCACTTCTGCAAGTCGTTCTGAAGAGCTGCAAATCCAAGCCCTGCAATCAGCTGGTGATGCTTCCTCCTGTAGATGTCTGTGGGCAGGGATGAGCTCAGTTTAAACCTCACTTTTAAAGTCTACAAAAGCCAGGAACATCTTTTCAGCTTTTTGGTCATTTATTGGTGTGGCTAAGGATTGTATCTATGTACTATCTGTTAAGTGACATTTTATTTTCCAACATACTGGAATCCCAAGAGCAGATTTTCCGAAGGAATGCATGGAGAATTGCCAAGAAGACATGCAACATGCTGCTGCATGGGAACATTTGGACTTGACCTCTGGATCCCTGCTATCTTTGGCATTAAATCAGATGAAAAATCAGTAAGATCCAAATGTAAAGTAATTATGCTGCCTAAAAAAGCCCCCACAAAACAACAATAACAACAGAACCCTGCAAACAAACAAAACAACCTACAAACAAATATCTGGAACCTCCAAGGAGGATGTAGGAAGACTTAATTGTTCATTTCCTGCTCATGCTCAGTGATCCGAGATCAGAATTCATCCTCCCTTCCTGATTTTTCTTCTTTAAGGTAAACCAAAAGCACTCAGATGCTGTTCCAAGTCTATTATTTGTCTGCTGCTCTCTTCCTCTCACCTGCTTTGTCCCAGAATAACAAAAAGCACCCCAAATTAATGGAAGAAAGCATTTGAATGCCTCAGTCCCTACACTCAAGCTGGGCAAT